CTCGGCCGCCTTTTCCTTGGGAGCGAAGGGGGAGGGGCCGGGGTCGGCTAGGTCCGGGGGTAAGGCCGACAGGACCAGCTGAAGATCCTCTCCGTCGAGAGCTTGCTCCAACCGGGTACGGGCCCGCTCCAGCATTTTGCGTTGCCCGGACTTGAACGCCCATCGGCCGAAGGAGACGATCAGGTCCTCTCCGACCTTAGTTCCCCGGGCCGCCGTGAGAAACGCCGAGCCCGACTCGCTGTCCTTGAAGACAGTCTGCACCAACTCGTTCGGATTATCGAGCCGGGCCTTCAGCTCTTTCGCTTCCCCGATCGCCCGTTGGGCGACTTTCTCTGCGAGGGCCCGGTCTTCCTCGCTCTTTTTCAGGCCCTTCTGGGCCTTCTCCAGCTCGGCCTGGATGTCCTTGATTTCCTTCAAGCGACGAGCGGCCGTTTTCTTGTGGTGGTCGGCTTCTTCGGCCAGCATGGCCCGACCTTGAAGGAGTTGGGCCGCGCGGGAAATCTGCAATACAAGAAGATGTTCAGCGTTAGCCCGGTCGAAGACACTTGCATATAAAAGAGAGTTAATGGAAGAGAGCTTACCTCGGCCAGATCGTAGCCAATCTTCTCGGCCACTTGGGTCGGGGTCATCTTCCCCAAATCCTCCTTAGCTGGCCCGGCGTTGCCGATCCGGGCCAGTATGGACGTAGCGGCCCTCTCTCGCCCGACCGAAGGGCTCGGGCTGCGCTGTTCTCGACGGCGCTTTATACCGCCCACCTCAGTCACGCCCTGCTCGGGCACTTTCTCTTTGCCCCGGGCGACTTCCACCCGGGTGACCAAGACGTCCGTCGGCTCAACGACGAAGCCCTCCGCCGTCGTGACGGTCGAGGTAGGTAGAGGTCGGGCCGTCGGGATCTCCTTTTCCCCGGCTGGCTTCGCCTTCGCCTTCTTCTTGCCGCCAAGGGAGATCTTGGCGGGCGGGGGAAGGGGGGCATCTTCGTCTCCGAACTCCGCCATGGCTGCAGACAAAGAAGAAAGTTAGTCAATTCGGGACGATAAAGAATATACGCTCAGAATGCTAAGGATCGGGAAAGAAGTTAGCTTCAAGCTTTTACCCTTCCTCTTGCCCCGAGCGGGCATCCGTGCGATCGTTACACCTGCCGGCTCGGGCTTGTACTTCTCGGTCTGGTCGTAGACCGGACCGGGTAGCCGGGCCGCGTCATAGCACTCGGGCGATTTGAAGATGTGGTATTCGTAGATCTCGCCTGAGATCTTGGTCACGGCATCGATGAGGGTCGGGGTCTCGACTGGCGTGACTTGCTTTCGAAAACGCTGACTCCAAACCCTCTCGACCGGGAGGATCCACGGATCGTATTTTACGGAGAAGATCCGGTTCTTCCACCCTCGGTTGTTCCCGGGCAGCCCTTCGATCGAGCATCTATCTGCTCGGGATTGTATCATCAGAAATCCACCCCCGTACGCGGCCGCTAGCACCTTCACTTGGTAGACGAAGTTGAAGAGTTCCATGGTGCAGGCCACGTCGTGTCGACGGCAGATCTGGGGGAAGCACGAGATTATTCGATGTGCGTTCGGGCAAATCTGCCCGGGCATAACTTGGTAGTAACCCAAGAATGCTGTGAGGAGGCTGGAAAAGGGGAATGTGATCGGGGCCATTAGCGAATCGTAATGCAGCCCGATCCATTTCCCTTGGTGCCGCTCGATGATATTTCCGAGTTGTCTGCTGGTGTCGAACTCGACCCGACCAGCAAGAGTTGCCGCAATTTTGTTTGCTTCTCCTTTTGTCAGCAAGCTCTTCTGACCTTCAACGCTCTCGCTGTTGAGGAACTCGAACCCGTCCTCGCCTGGCGGCGTCGGCCCGGTCGGGTCCTCTTCGTCCCCTTCGGCCTCGTTGGCCCGGTCTCTGCCCTCAGGCTCGGTTCGAGGGTAATCCCCTATTACCCTCATAGGCGTTTCCCTAACGCCTTCTTCCGGGAGGTTTCGTCCGCTCGTGGACGTTTCTTCGCTCCCCGACCCGCTGGAGCTCGACCCCGAGGTCCCTGACGAGCTTGATGACCCTGCTGGCTCGGGGGCTTGGTCGGGAGTGGGCTGTGGTCGTTGTTCGACCTCTGGGGAGTAGGACATGATGTCCACCTCCTCGCTGCTGTGCTCGATTGCGTCGTCGTAGTCTGCGATCGAGGCGTTCTGGCTATCCGTATCCGACATGTTTTCTACCTAAAGGTCGGTCGGGGTTAGTACAGGATCGGGAGGTTAGCTCAAAGTTAGTCCTATCCCATTCCTACGCAAAGCTAAAAACAAAGTAAAAAGCTGAGGGATTAAGAGCTTACCGATTGCTGGTACTTTGCACGGGGGAGAGAGCTTGAAGCTTGGCTTTGCTCGACTGGTTCGTTGAACTGATGCTCGGGACTCTCTGAGGGTGCCGGTTGCTTCAGAAGATTGAGGAAAGTTTAAATGAAGGCCTCAGGGGCCTATTTATAGGAGGGCGTTTGGGCGGGAAAATCATCCACTTGCGTGACACGACCAGCGCTGACTCCGAGGTGACGGTTGCAGTCGCAGAGGCCGGCAGTGGCCGACACGTGGCAAGGAGGGGAATGACAGCTGGCCGGTCGGTTTACTGGCCGACGGTTAGGCTTCTTCATCCCGGCCCATTTTTTCCCGGTCGATCAAAAAGGCCCGGGCTGGGGGGCTCTTGGTAGGGAATATCCCGACCGGCATAGTTTCACCACGACCGAGAAGCCTTTGTCCTTTTCTCTTTGTCTTTGCAGGTAACAGGTCGGGCTCCTTGTGAAGAACCCGGTCGGGGTCCGACCGGGAGTTGCCCGAACGATGATGTTAACCACCGAGCGGGAGCCCTTTGGCGAGAGAGCTGATGAAGGGCACGTGGCGGCTCTCTACATCGACAGGCAGGGCACCCGGAAGGATGACACGTGGTGGCTACGTGGAGGACATGCCGAACGGCTGGAATCCTGTCCCCGGCAAAGCGGCTATAAATACCCACAGTAGCTACAGTGTAGGGGACTTTTGGACGATCGATAGGTTGTTGTTAGAGAATCCCGACCGCAGTCAGTCGGCACTCAGAGCAACCAAGTAGATTGTACTTAGGGCATTTACTGTGATCAATAAAGACATTTACTTGCTTTAGTTGGTCTCGAGTTACTTCATATCGCTTACGTAATTAGCAGTATCATATATATATATATATATATATATATATATATATATATATATATATATATATATATATATATATATATATATATATATATATATATATAATTCGAACAATTGTTGCTTCACAGAGGAAACTTACATATATTATTACACCTTTATAATTTATAATAATATATAATATAATTATATAATTATATTAATATATACGGACCAGGACTATGTGGTCCAATGGTACCCGGGTTGGACTTCCATTTGGAAGGTTGTAAGTTCGAGCCTCAGTGGAGGCGTTATTAGCTCTTTGTGTTTCAGTAAGTTGAGAAAGTATATGAACAGATACTACAATGTAATAGAGCTAGTAGCATTTAAAAAAAAAAAAATATTAATATATACGGAGTAGTACATTTAGAAACCCAGCATGAAGTATGCCAGAAGTTTCTTCCTTCTCTTTGAGATGAGAAGACTTTCTTATTTCTCGACAACGATTCCATTTCTCTTGCTCAATTTCTTCCTTCTACAGATTTATTGCTCTCTTGCGTAAGTATTGTCCTCAAATTTTACTCAAGGATGGCGATTGTTCATTGTACTTTCCTAATTCCAAGCTTGGAGTTCTATGATCTTCAACCACAATGCATGCCTCTGTATCCTACCGTTTCACAGAGATCTTCAACCACACACGGCTTAAACTTATAAATTGAATCTGATTGGCTTATAAAAAAATCTTGGGCGTAAAATAAGTAGAAACAAAATATTTAGTTTAAATATTTTTGGTAACCGATGAGTTTACACGTTCTTTTAAGCAAAATGATATAAATATTTGATACTCCTCAAAACGACGTAGTATTGTTTGGGCGGGAATTTTTTGCTCCTATTATTTTGCTTTAATATATATAGAGAAGAGATATATAGAATATACAGTATAATATAATAAGACAAAAAATATAAAGTATGAAAATCTAGAAATTTTGAAACAATAACCAAAATATATAATTATAATTTTGTATATATGATAGTTTTGATACTTTTTTCTTTCATTTGTGATCAAAGTTTTATTTTTGAAAGTTTAGCCACTCACAAAGTACAAAATGACAAGTTTATAACTCCATTTCATATGTTTTTCAATTTAATTTATGCTTCAGAGCATTAATACATTACAAAATCAGTTTGTGATATTTCAAATGTGATCTCTATCACTATATTATATTTTCAATTTTATAATATATTATTTTCAAAATTACTTTCTCAAAGCCAATGAATAAATACATGAATTGATGGTCTTAGCAAATGCTCTTCTAGGTAAATCCATTGTTTACTTTGAATCGTATATAAAATACAGTAATTTAATTTTGATTAAGATTTAGCCATTCATACAACTAAAATAAATGAACAACTAAAATAAATGAAGAGATGAAGAAAATATGCATTATTAAGCTCTACAAAAAAAAAAAAAAAAAAAAATTAATAATTATTAAGATCATCATACAAATTAGAGAAATGAATATACAGTTTTCAGCCCATTTATATTTTATATTATGATCCAATCCAAAACATATAATTCTTATTAACCTTACATACTGTAAGCCCAACTTAAAGAGAGTAAAGCCTAGCCCACACTAATCCTAAGTATAATTTGGACAAAACGTTTCGCCTTCTTCATTTTGCAGTCCACGGCTTCAGCTCACCTCTCCGTCTCCCGTCTCTCGCTTCCTCCGTCGATACAGACTCGGCTTACTCATATCTTCACTTTCGTCATCACCGATGCCAGTCCTCAGGCCAAGCTCACATTCTCTCGTGCTCTCCTACTCAAGTTAGTTTCTTCGCTGTAGGTTAGGGTTTTCATCTATATCGTATTTCCAAATCCCATCTCCAAATCGCCGGTCAATTGATCCAAAATTCCATCTCCAAAACACTAACCTTCTCGTCACCGGACCAGAGACCAGTCCTCCATCTCCTGCATCCCTTGCTGCCGGCTGCCCTGCTCCGCCGCCTCCAAACGTACCAAATCGTCGTATTCCCTAACCCGCATTTTCCGGTAGCAGACCGAGACGCACATCTTCTCTGGTGCGATTCTTTCTGATATCTCACTTCATCTTTCGTTATGTTTCGATTCGTTCTGATATTCTCCCTTCATCTCCAATTCTTTTGGGTTCTCCGGTGTTTGCTTAGTAGGTATGACTGTACAGAATTAAGCATCTCCAAAGAAATGCAGATCTACAAAAAGATAAGTTTATTCTCTATTCTTAATTTTTGTATTGAATCAGTAATTTATATAAACATTGCAGAATGTGTGTTTATTCTTCGTTTTTATTTGACAGACGAAGTTCTGCAACAATTAGGGTTTTTCTGCTAGGCATTTTATGAATATATATAGCTGTGAACTTGGAATTTTATGAATATATATAGTTGTGAACTTGAAAGGAGTTGTAATTGATGTGGAGTTGTGAACTTGGAATTTTATGAATATATATAGCTAATAAAATCACACATATAAGAGTACAAATTAGTGTTTAAGCTAGAGTTCTATAACTTTGAGTAAATAGGCAACTTATCTTTACCAGATCATTCTTGCACCTTTGAAAGAAGCTTTCAGACTTCATAATCTCTCTACATGCGAACCTTGATTTTCTCCCTGTGTTTATGTTCAGATGTAGGTAGCTCTGTAAACAAATTAAATTAGGTTTCTAGCTAATGAGGTAAAACTATGTTTGTTAGTAGATTGTAAGTAAAACATACCTGATACTGTAGAATCTTTACCCAATTTTGTCTGTCCACATGCATAATCTAGAAAAAATATCAATACAGTTGTCAAAAAAATAAAAATAGAAGTGCAGGTGTATAGAGCTTTAGCAGATATGTAGGTGTATAGAGCAATTTTTTCCACTATGCTATAGGAAATCATAAATTCATATGCTTTTGTACTGTGTGTAATATTGTTATGCAATTCTTTGGGCTTATTTTAATAGCATTTTTAATGGATTCTATTATTTTTCAAGAAAAAGTGAAAAAGGATGCAAAGCTTTACCAAATCTGCAGCCCAGATTTTGCAGCAACAACTACTGCTTCCCCTGCACATCCCCGTTCGTGAAGCTTCCCCTGCACATCCTTGTTGATGCCATTCATTTCAGCCTCTCTCCTCTAAATACACGAACATCCTCGTCCAGACTTTGCTTCAACCCCTCCGAATCTATCTCCAATTGGCTGTGATATGAGACTTATTTATAATGTTGAAGTAGGTATAGATTTAATGTAACAGATTTTGAATTTCAAATTTATCTCTAAACAATTAATGTTATTCTAGTAGATTGTAATAGTCTTATTGGAATTTGTAAGCATGCTTTGTTTGTTGCAATAATCTGAACACAATAAATACATTAAAATAGAGCTGGTACATTAAAATAGAGCTAGAGATATATATTTATTACGGAGTATTTTGAACACAATAAATGTCTTGCAGTAATAATATTACAAAGGAAATTCTATTCACACCCCTCTTTTTACTATTTGCACCACCTACATAATAGGTCAAACTACTTTATAGGTGGTGCTAACTACAAAATGCTATTTACACCACATTATTTAATGTGGTCAAAAGACTAATATTTATTTTATATTTTTTTTACAATTAAATTATTAATATAAAAAAAAAAAAAAAGAAAAAAAAAAAACAAAAAAAAAAAAACAACTTAGCGTCACCTTCTCCGGTGAGAAGGCAACCCACAGTGGGTTGCCTTCTCACCGGAGAAGGCAACCCAGGTAGTTTCTACCTGGGTCACCTTGGTGAGAAGGCAACCCAGGTAGTTTCTACCTGGGTCACCTTCTCCGGTGAGAAGGCGACCCACTGGGCTGCCTTCTCACCGGAGAAGGTGACCGGGGAGGTTTTGTTTTTTTTTTTTTTTGTTTTTGTTTTTTTTTTTTTGTTTTTTTTAATGAATTAAATTTTGAATTAATTAATTATTATTTAAATCTAATAAATGTGGTTTGAATAAGGGGGTGCAAATAGCATTTTGACCACCCATTAGACTATTTGCACCACCTATGTATTTATTATAATTTTTCACTTTTTTAGATTTTCAATGTACTTTATACCCCATTTTAGTCAAAGGGGGGTGCAAATAGCAACACCCTATTACAAATCTCTATGTACCAAAATGCATTCACACACTTAGGCGGGAAAAATTTGTGGCTACTTCATTTTGCTTTAATATATATAGAGATGGGCTAGGCTAGGTAGAAAATACATCTCATTTTGGACATGGAATAAACTTATGGGTTCAAGACCAACTTTAGCCTATAAAATACTTATATACATATACTTTGAGCTTACAATAAATAAGTAGATTTTAGATAATTAAAATCTCTTTTGGGCTTAAGGCATTTGGGTACAAAATTAATAGTTCATATAATAAATATGCCCGAGCCCGTTTTAAATTAAATAGCTATATAAATATTTTTAATAAAAATATTTAATATCGGGACTATAGTTTATTTTAGGAAAATACGGGGTGTCACAGGAGAGAAGTGAAGCCATATACATTACCACTTTACCAGACACCATTCATCATTCAGGTGTCAAATGCTCAATGGCAGCAACATTTAAAATGTCACCAAGCCATTGAACACTTTCCATTTCCCAGCAAAGGAATGAGGGCCTGAGGGACATTGATATTTGATACACATACACTGTAACACTGATGCAGTCATACAAACATATCATATAATAATCATTGATCAAATATCAAAATAAATACAGAAATGCTTTATGGAATATAAGTTATAAGTATATAAACATACAGGTATTGTAGGCAATGATCCAACTCCAGTGGTGGATGTGCTGCACAACTCTGCAAAAAAAACAAAACAAAAAAAAAAAAAAAAAAACACAAGTATAAGTTAAAAGAAGTATTAATTTATACTACATAGTTATAACTTCTAAGTTAAAAAATGTAAATTTTAGAGATTTACCTTTCTCAATCCTTTCAACATCTTCAATATTTTCTTCAACAGAGAATGGTTGATTGGCTAACCTCAAACAATCCTATGCACACACAAGTGCCTCAACAATCTTAGGAGTTAGGGAACTCCTAAAGGCATCTAGTATCCTGCCACTGGTACTGAATGTTGATTCAGATGCAACAGTAGAGATTGGAACAGCAAGTACATCCCTTGCCATTTTAGATAACACAGGGAACCTATCAGAATTCAGCTTCCACCATCTTAGAAGGTCAAAAGAATCCTAATCATCCACAATGACCTCAGACAAATACACCTCCAACTCAGTTTTTTCATTGACAAATCACCACTACCCAATTTTTGTTTCTTAATCTGGGATTTCAATAATGCTTGAGATTTCCCAATAGAAACACAATCAGAAATTATAACTGAAGGGGCTGATTTGTCAGAATTTTCAGGAACAGACTGGACAGGAAAATAGGACACATAATCTTGAAATAACTCCTTAAGGCCAACAACAACCTTATCAAACATTGTTTTACCTTTGTCCTCACCATATAACTGGGTAAACTGAATGGGCATATATTCTATTTTGTCACTGGGGTCTAAGATATTTGCATAGAATATGAGAAAGTTCATTTTTTCATACTCACCCCAATACTTATCAAACTTTGCCCTCATATTTGTACCCATCAGTTTAACACTACCATCAGCTTCCACCATATTACTTAACAAGCAAGACAGATCAGAAATCTCAGAGAAAAAGGTATTAGAAGTCACATACAGTGAACCAGAAATTCTAACAGTCATTTCATAAAAAGATTTTAGAATCTTTACCAAACCAGAAATGGTTTCCCAATCCATGAAGTTAGGCATATTCTCACCCAAATCATATTTAAATCCACAGTCTAAGCTTGCATAATCTTCAAAGACTTTATCATGCAACAAAGCAGCACTCAGCATCATATAGGTGGAGTTCCACCTTGTAGGAACATCAAGACACAAAGAATTCTTGGCTTCCACCCCCATTACATCAGCTAGCTCCCTAAACCTTTGAAGCCTAGCAGGTGAGCTTCTCACATACCTAATAGCATCCCTCACTTTTTTAGCAGCACTATCAGATTCTTTCAACCCATCTTGTACCACCAAGTTAAGGATGTGAGCAATGCACCTCATGTGCAAGTACTTACTCCTAACAACAGTACAACCCCATGACACGAACTTCTTCTTTAAGAATCCTAAGGCAGTATCATTGCTAGAAGCATTATCAACTGTGCCCACTGAAAACTGATTTTAGACCCCAGTCCATAAGACAACTTTCTAAAGTACTTACTCCTAACAACAGTACAACCCCATGACACGAACTTCTTCTTTAAGAATCCTAAGGCAGTATCATTGCTAGAAACATTATCAACTGTGCCCACTGAAAACTGATTTTAGACCCCAGTCCATAAGACAACTTTCTAAAGCCTTTGCAATACTTTCACCCTTGTGGGAATAAATAGGAACAAATTAAATGATTTTCTTTTGGAGCTTCCACTCACTGTCAATGAAATGTGCAGTTATGCACATGTAGTTTATTCTCTGGACTGAGGTCCATGTATCAGTTGTGATACTAACCCTCTGACTACTAGTCCTAAAGAACTTCTTCAAGTTGAGCCTCTCATCAGAAAAAATCTTAAAAATGTCCCTACTGATAGTCCATCTTGAAGGGATTTTAAACCTAGGACAGCAAACAAACACAAACTTTCTAAACCCCTGTCCCTCAACTATCCTAAAAGGCAATTCATCCAGAATAATCATCTTAGCTAAGGCTTTCCTTATCAAGTCTTAATCAAATACCCAAGTACCTAACACCCCTTCAAATCCTTCACTACTTTCAGTTCCAGCAGAAGAATGTGCAGGTTGGAAAGTAAGCAAGGACTGCCTTGTATCCTTAGAGAGTGAGGATTTTTAAGGCAATTTACCACATGATGTCTGAGAGAAGAAGTCCCATGTTTCTTGGACTCACAACAAAACACCCTAGCATAGTATAAACATTTTCCCTTGATAACAATGCCCTCAGAGTTTTTGATCTTATCAAAGTGATCCCATACAGGAGATCTGGTCTCAACCACTTTTCTTTTCTTAGGAATAGGTGGAGGAAAAGGCTGCTGAGACAGGGATGTATTTGTCTCTACAGCTGTGGCTTCCACCTCAGGTTGACTTCCAGATAAACCACTAATACTTTCCATCTAAAAAAAGGAAAGTATCAGTGAATGGGAAATCACTCATGGAAAATCATCAACAACTATGGACAAAGGCATCAAGCATGCACATTACCACATATATTCATATAATTACTTAAAAAGGCAGAATTCAGTTAATTTCACATGTCACCATGTATGCAGAATTGCACATAAACGATTTAAGGGTCACATATCCATAAACTTAATACAATTTACAATTTACAAAAAAATCCATAATCAGGCATTCAAGCTAAGTAGATGTATGCCACTTTATAATGCTCATCATCTATATGGATTTCACACACAGGGACTAGGGCTTCCACCAGATTAGGGACAATTAATTAACCCTTTAAGCCTTTAACTCCTTTAAGGGACAACACAGATTTACAGTTATAAATTATAAATTTATAATGCTCATCAATCATCATTTATATGGAATATGGATTTCCAGGGGCAAAGGGACACAGGGGCTAGAGCTTCCACCAACAGATCACAAATTAGAGACAAGTGACATGCAATTGATGCAAATATGCAATCTGGAACTTCTCAAGTCTCAACAGATCACATTATCACAGTCCACAACCTTATCAAACATTATCACAGTCCACACATATTAGTTAATCACAATCACATAAACCCTAATCAAACTATCAAAGTATCACAAATTAGAGACAAGTGACATGTAATCTAGAACTTCTCAACAGATCACATTATCACAGTCCACACAAATCAGTGAATCACAATCATAGAAACCTTAATCAAACTATCAAAGATTCAAAGTATCACAAATTAGAGACAAGTGACATGCAATTTGGAACTTCTCAACAGATCACATTATCACAGTCCAAACAAATCACAATCTATAAGAGTATAAGACTATAATCTAAGCAGGGTTGTAAAACTCGGTCTAGGCGCCCGCCGAAGCGCTAGGCACCTCTAGACCGTGGCAATTTCCCCCCTAGGCGCCCGCCTAGGTTACCGGCTGCTTAGGCGTCCGCCTAGCGCCTAACTCGGCCGATTTGGCCGCCTAGCGTCTAAGTTAGTCGAGTTAACTCGTCCCTTTCGGTCGAGTTAACCTGATCGGCTCGACCTAATTTTTTATTATATATGTGTGTGTGTGCGCGCGCATACATACATATATATATATATATATATATATATATATATATATATATATATATATATATATATATATATATATATATATATATATATATATATATAATATGACATATATACACTCATAGACTAGTTTGATACTTTGAATCTTTGGATGATTGAAGTATTTGAGTATTTCATATTTGAGTATTTTTAATTTTTAATATTGTTTTAATGTTTTTTTTTGAAAATCATTGTTTTGATGTTATGACTTATGAATTATCATTAATTCATTTATTTTGGATGTGTTATTTGATTAAATGTTGAAAACAACCTCATTAAAATTGTCAAACTTCAAGTCCACCACTGTTTTTAATTTTTGGCGCCCGCCTAGATTCCGCCTAGGCGCTAGGCGCTGTCCGGGTGCCCGATTAGTGCCTAGCGCCTACTGCAACCATGAATCTAAGTATCTAACAATCTATAAGATTAGGGTTTAGAGAATAGAGATTACTTCGTTTCTCTAAATTAAACCCCCGAGAACAAAGGGCTTCGATTCCTAGCCAGTGAACTGCAATCCACCGGAGTATCGCACGTCCGCGCCGATCAAAGACTCAGACTCTCAGAGGTCAGGGGCTACCAGAAAGGAATGGGGCTTGAGGGCTTCCACCGGAGAATAATAGCTTCCACACAGTCACACTCTCAGAGAGTTAGAGTCTCAGAGATTGAGAGAAGCTGAGATTCTGAGAAGGGCTGAGAGAGAACGAGAGACTTTGAGAGAACTAGGGTAGAGAGAAGAGAGAAGTCAGAGAGTTCTCTGGAAGAAGGGAAGAGCAAGAGCTGCGCAAATGAGACTAGGTTTCCGAGTTCTCCGTTGATCTTCTATATATACTAGGCATGAACGACGTCGCATTACTTAGGGGCAAATTATATCCTACACCACGGCGCGCGTTGCACTGTGCGCCCAGATGCAAAACGACGTCGTTTTAATTTTTTTTTTTTTTTTTTTTGAAATTTCCCGCCCCAGTGAATGACAGTAATTTTTTCTTTTAAAAAAAACCCGTTGTTCAAAAATGTACATAATGTTATACTAGAATACACATAATTGTATACATGAATGTACATAATTATATAACAAAATATACATACTCTTTTTAAAAGATAATACACATAATCTAACATAATACATAATAAACATAAACTTTTAACATAATACACATCAACTCTTAACATAATACACACAAATTTTCTGATTCGGATGTACATAATTGTATAAAAAGAATGTACATAATTGTATAAAAAATGTACATAACTGTATGAACAAATACACATAATTGTATGAACAAATACACATAATCACAGCAACTTCCTACCGCGCCTCCCAAAACGACTCCAAAACGACTTCGTTTTGGGAGGCGCGCGGCGCACAGTGCTACGCGCGCCGTGGTGTAGGGTATAACGATTGTTACTTAGGGTATACAAACAAACCCTTACCTAAATCGGGTATTTGGGTGGAAAATATACCCCCCTACCCGAACTCATTAAATCGGCGTCGTTTTAGGCCGCGGTTCGAATTAGGCTAGTCGGGTTCGGTTTTCGCACCACTCTCTTGTGTCGGGTTCGGGTCTACCCAACACAAGATATTTATAGAAAATTAAATTCATTAGCATTCGTGACATTAAAAATTAAATTTAAATTTCAAATTGTAACTCTCAAAATTAACCAGAATAAATATAGTATTACAAACTTAATTCTAAGATAAATTAGAAAATCAATATTAATTACTAAACTAATTAGAATTTACTCACATTTTAATTACGTTATAATATATAGTAAATGAGATACAACAACGAATGATAAGAGCAGTAAGTAATACAATGAGCAACAATGCTTCACAACTTTTATTGCTTAGCAGTAAGGCTTCACGAAGCCTTCGCCCTACAGTAAGCTAAGGCTTCAACGTTTATATCCTTTTATTTCATTACACAATTATCGAAATAATATATTGAAAAAAATATCATTATGTGTGTTATTTAAAAAATTTCTTCGAAATTTTAGCAATTTATTTTTTATACTTTAATTTTATTTATACAAAAAAATATTTAAGTGATGATTGATTAATTTATATCATTTTAATGAACCTACAATATTATTATAATAAATTGAACATGCATTCATATTTGATCTGGCTGTATGTCATAGACCATTATCCACATCTCAATATGAACCAAATTAATTTTTATTTTTTAAAAAAAAAAAAACTTACACATACGCACATAGAGAGGTGGGTTCAAATGAGAACAACCCCTCATATAAAAAGTGCGGACTGGTAGAAGAAAAAAGAGTAATAATAACTGTTGACCACTATTTTTTCTAGATGAAAAATTATATATGGCCTATTCATGGAGGAATAGTCTCGTCAGACATCACATGTCATGATTTTATTGATAGAAGAAAGAGTAATAAAAATTATGGACCACTCTTTTTTCTAGATAAATCAGAACATACATGTAATGTAAGCATGAAGTAGAAATTGAGAGTATGTATAGTATCATCACTCCTATAATAAGTTTGCCGAATAACAACAACAATAGTTTTTTTTTTTTTTTTTTTTTTTTTTTTTTTTTTTTTTTGAAAACAACAACAATAGTAGTTGAAGGTCCATGAAGATACGAGACTTATTTATTTTTGATTTTTGATTATTTGTAGTGTATTGCATAATTCTAGAATGTTTAATAGTTTAAATGTACCTTTTTTTTTAGTTTAATAGTTTAATTACATTTTTCACATATAGTTCAATAGTAGCCTAATTGACACTTTAAAAAAAAAAAATTAAGTAAAATTAAAATTTAAAATTTTGTTCTATTGATGTGGCAAATGACTCACACTCATTTGCTCTCATATTTTATTTGAACTTTTTGATAGTGCAACCACATCGGGAGAAAAGGGAAAAACAAATGGAATCAAATCTTAAATATGTAATAGTTGAATAAATTATCTGAAATATGTAACATATTTTTTTAGCAAAAATGTAACTCTGAGTATTAAGTTGTAGTATTGTGAAACAATGATTGATGGTCATTTTCCTCAAAATTTTTGTTTTTTGAAAAGATAGATGTAGTTTTATTTGTTGCAAATTGATGAAGCCCATTATATTAGAAGTATTATATAGAGAAAATGAATTGTGAAGAAAGAAAAGAATGCAGGGCAAAGATAATGAGAGTTAATTAGAGCATAAATAAGTGTGTAAGTTGTGATGAGAAAGTATGTATCTGTCTAACAGAAGAGGGTGGAGTAAAATGATTGCCACCATGAACATGAACATAAACATAAATAAAGAGGTTACAGAAGAGAAGAGAAGAGATGAGATCATCTGTAGTTATTGCAGATGATGTTATTTAGCTAGCAAGAAAAGCCATCCAGAAAGCAGAAATGGATTGGATTAACCTGTGTTCTGCATTCCAGCAGCAATGCCCTTCATGGTCAAGATAAGGGTGTCCTCCAAGCCTGGTGCATACTCGCTTGTTGGGTTGAGATTCACGAGGTCGGTAGCTGATTTTGACTCAGTGATCCCGAACTCTCTGCTGATGTGAGGCCTCGGGGTGACATGGTAGTTGGGGTCACGTATACGCTTCAGAGTGTACGCTTGGCACACGTTTAAGGTTGTGATGTAGGAATCACGCAGCCTGAGTCGTTGCCTCAAGTAAGGGTCTCCCTCCAGCAGATCCTTGTGCCCAGCAATCTATTGAAAGATTGGAAATTTTCAATTTTCAATAATATAATATAATGCATTCATTTTCAGTTAGCTACCTGGAGCAAAAGGCTCTTTGTCTGCTCGTAGTTAGTCCTCAAACGCTCGCCAAATGGCCATAACTCTTCCAAAACGAGAAGCTTGTCGTACAGTGCAGCAATGCCAGGGTCTCCCTTGGCGAAAACCATCTCCACGAGATCGGCTGTCACTCTAAAGAAAGGCCATTGGTTGTACATCTCTTGGAACATTTTGAGGTTGTTTGCATCCTTTTCGACAGCCTTTGAAAACGCTGCGCCAAAACCAAGCCAAACTGGGAGATGGAACCTCGTCTGTGTCCACGCAAAGATCCACGGAATGGCTCTCAGGGTTTCGATTCCTCCACTTGGTTTGCGCTTTGATGGACGACTCCCGATGTTCATTCTCCCATACTCTAGCTCGGGTGTGGCCTGCAGTTAGGAATAATATATTATATTTGCTAATGCGCGCGTTTACTTTACTAGAAAAAATAAAAAAAAACACTACTTACTAGGCGGAAGTACTCAACGAAGCGAGGTTCTTTGAAAACTATTGAGCGATACTCTTCTGTAGCAATCACGGTTATTTCATCCATGAGTGCCCGCCATTCTGGTTTTGGAGAAATTGGTGGATGCATACCGTGCTCGAGAGTAGCAGCAGTGAAGCGCTGGAGTGTCCTAAAGCACAAGTGCTCCTCCCCGAACGATTGCTCAATCACTTCGCCCTGAACTGTGACACGGAGATTTCCAAGAATCGTGTCGGGTGGCTGTGACAATATAGCGAGATGCGTTGGGCCGCCTCCTCTCCCAACCGTACCACCTCTACCGTGGAACATAGTGAGCTTCACGCCATATTTTTTGGAGACTTTTACTAGCTCCTCCTGAGCCTTGTATAGCTGCCAGGCAGCTGAAAGGCGACCAGCATCCTTGCCAGAGTCGGAGTAGCCAATCATCACTTCTTGCTTACCATTAATTCGGTTTCTGTACCAATCAATGGAGAAAAGGCGTGAGAGTGCAGCAGGAGCAGCCTCGAGATCTGCTAATTTCTCGAAAAGTGGAACCACCCTTAGAGGATGGATGACGCGGCATTCGCGCTGCAGAAGTTCAACCGCAAGCACATCAGATGGTGCTGTGGCCATGGAGATGATGTACGCTCCAAAGCAGTCGTGTGGGAGTTCAGCTATAACGTGCAGCGTTTGCAAAACATCAGCAATTTCTTCTGTTGTTGGAAGATCCGGTCCAAATAAAGGTCGCTTGCCGCCAAGTTCAGAGAGAAGCCACTCCTGTCTGCGCTCTTCGGACCATTCTTTGTACGAACCAATTTCCAAGTGCTTAGTTACAGCATCCAGAACATCGGAGTGCCGATCCGACTCTTGCCTAATATCAAGTCTAACCAGTGAGAGACCAAATGTAGAAACCTGCCTCAGAAAATCCAGTAAACTTCCATCTGCAATGGAACGATCCCCACACGCACATAGAGATCTGTAGCAGAGCTCAAGGGGTAGCAAGAACTGCATTCGAATATATGTGTGTAAGTATGAATGCATTGCATGTGGAACTTCAATTCATAAACACTTGTCTTTTTCATGTCTTCCAAAATGCCTCTAATGGAGAACAACATAAATAAAAAATGGAAAACTATAATAACCTGCTCAACACTCGTGAAAGTTGCTTCTTCTGGGATGTCGGAGTATCCATGGGATAATAATTGGTGAGTACGCTCACGGGTATGGTATAACTTATCCCTCACATCACCAAGAACAACACGATATGGTTCACTTGGTGGAACTTGTTTCCAAAATTCTGCATCGCAAACAACGCTTATTATTTATGTATGCAAGAGATATAAAAATTACAGTGTTGATTCAAATATATATGCATCTACTTACCTATATAGTGTTTTGCATCCCGCCTTGTTGACTGATGAAGTTCATCTGCTCGATCACGAAGTTCATCATTGCAGCGCCACATGGACAACTGGCAAAGGCAGTGGACTAATAAGCGTTTCAAGTATTTCTTCAAATAATTAAGCCCACAGTAGAAATAGAATACCTCAAACATAAGATCCTCTATTTGGGAATAGTACAAGTTTGCGGCCATCATTCTGGCCAGTAAGCAAACGTCCCTTGTGACCTCAGGAGTCACCCTTGGATTACCTGCAATAATGCCATGGAAGAAGAAGTTTAGAAAAGTTTATTTTGGTGATTTTATTTCACCGAATATTCAGCTAGGGTCAGAAGGCAGTTCTATACGGGGAATGTTTCAAATCACACACATTTTTAGTTTGTTTCTTAAATTATATTTATAGGTAAGTGATTATAATCTTTATTTTTTTTATTACTATACAATGACATGCAGATAAAATACACAAGTTGAATATGGACTTAATTGTGAGCAGGAAGCTAAGGGGATTTTACCATCACGATCACCACCCATCCAAGAGGAAAATTGAATAAGAGGGGCATTATAGGGAACGCGTTCTTT